TTTTGTTGTTGAGATGAGACACAAGCGCGCCTTCGCCCCTTGTGCTCACTCTCATCTAGCACCCATCAAAGCCTGACCAGGGAGTCAGTTGATAAGAACATCTATCTGCATTTCTCTTTCCAAAGCTCGCTCGGGCCTACCGATCTCACAGCAGTGTAGACCAACCTCTGTGATAGAGCGGTGACAGCAGTGTAACCTCTGTGGTAGACTACAAAGTCTACGAGCTACAGCGGCACCGCCACCTCCGCTGCTGCAAGACGCCACATTCTGTGAACACAGAGCTTACAACTGCCTCTGGAAGTGGAAGCACCAGAAACNTATATGAGCGGTTTTTCGGTGGATTGTTTCCGTTTCTCGAAGCGGCGTGCTCGGGATGGAGGCGATTGCGCCTGTATTTTTTTGTGGCGCACCTTTTCCTGCCTCCTCTCCTTGAGGACATGTGCATGATACGTCACAAGCGCGAATGATGGGAGTCCCCCCCTGCTTTTACTGTGGTCCGGATTCGACGAGCACGTACCCCCCCCCCCCCCCCCCCCCCCCCCCTTCTTCCTTCTCCATCCCGGCGTTGCAACACCCTAACGCGAGCGAGCATGTTCCGAAGGCTCTGGAAGTACGGTATTCTCAACAAGCAAGAAGAAATCCTCGTTGATATATTCCTTGCCGACGCTGTTCCTCGTTTCCGATCCCCCCCACTAACCTTTGATGCTGTGCATGGTGGTTGTGGCTCTCTCGCCGGTTGTTGTCGCCCTGGCCGTGGCCCCGTCGGCGCTTGCTCTCTTTGCGACGGAACTCCCCCTCCGACCTCCTGGCTGCTGTCTTTCCGTCGTCTGCTGCCTGGCGTTCCGTGGCCTCTTGCTGTCGGGTGGGATGGCGGCGGTGGCGGTGGCGGTGGCGGTGCGCTTCTGCAGGCGGGCACATGAAGTCGAGTTCATCAGAGAGTTCGACAGGTGGGTGCAAATAGGTTTCTACACGAGGAGAGTTCTCAGAGAGGAAGGGAGTTCTCAGAGACTAAGAGAGTTCTCAGAGAGGAGGGAAACGTGCTGCTTGCATGCATGCACGAAAAGAATGCAACGAAAGACGAGAAGAACAAGGATTACCAAAGCACGTTGTGTGCTTTTACGCGTGGTGATGGAAAATAGGAGTTTCTGAGGGAATATGGCAGGGAAAAGAACAACGAGGACAACAACACCTTCGCGACTATGTAGGTACCACAACCCCTAAAATGATCGTCTTGACTAGATCATCCCGACTTGTTCTGTCCTTTCCTCAATTCATCTCGAGTGTGTGTGTGTCGTTTTTTGTTCGACAACAAGTGCAAGTACCAGGTAGTTACCGCTCGCTGGCTCCAGCATTAGACTACACGAAGCGTTTGTCCCGTTTTCACGCTTCGGTGGAAGATCTAGACAACAACATCGGACTCAACAACTGTCGATGTGTTTCGAGTATTGTAGTCGACACCCTCCCCAATACCCCTTCGCTCTCAGTCGACGACCCCCTCCCCCCCC